TTCTATCTCTTCTTGTGCATGTGGAGCTTACGGGAAGCTGGAACGAGCAAGATCAACGCAAGAATATGAACATAGATGTCAGCAACACTAAACAAGTGAAACAATAGTCATATTCTGTTTTTTATCTTGCTTTCGGATAACAGAGTTGAGTTTTTAATAGTATGTAGTTGTAGGACTCTTATTCAGAAATTGTACACTGGACACCTTCATTCCAATTCCAGAAAACAGCTGAGTGACTTTGACTAAGATGGATGGGATAAAGCATGTATTTGGAGATTGTCGAAAATTCAAATCTCATACATTTTATGTTTAACTTGACCTACCAGCATTACAGCTTCTATGTTGAGTTAAAGCAAAGAACTAAAAGGGGCTGATCACAAAGTGTATCTTGAATGTCACGGGCAGAAGATTTCATCTAATGAATAAAAAAGACAATCTTTTAAAGTCGAGGTAAATAATTAATACGTAACGTTGACACGATGAACTGAATATAGCAGGTTTCATGACTCACTACAAAGCATGAAACTTCATACCTGTATCTCCGGCTTGTAATTGCATAGATTGTATGCAAGGGGTCACACCCTCGAGAACATACATTCTACTGTTGTTGTTTGGCCAAAATCTGAACTGGAATACCCATTCTTTGCCCTTCACATCCTGAATCCGCAGAGGAAGGCCTTCTGGTTGAGAAATTGGTGGAAAATATGCCTGAAAATTGAAATAACTTCAAATCAATTAAGAAACTGATGGAGTCGCCAAGAGGAGAAAAGGTAAAGGAAGACCAGGCCTCTCCTACGGTGAGCAAAACAGCAAGTAAACTACATTCACAAAGGGGAAAAAGGGTCGGTAAAGGGGAACGTGTTAAAATGATACTGAAGAAACAAAACGTGAAACTTACTTCAGCACATGCTTTAGGAAGTACCAAACGGCCAATTCGACCTGCATCGCTTGCACTCAGAACCTTCTCAAATAATGGTATGATGGTGGAATTTGAGCTTGAAAAGACATTGTCAAGGAAATCATGTAATGAAATAGGTGAACAGCAATCAATCTAATTTAAGAACTCATGATGGATACTCTCCAGATATTTGCTGCAACTCCTGATCTGTTATCCTCGGCCAATAACGTGGAAGCAGCTGATTCTTAATCCGGCCTTCAACAGGTGGCCTGGCAACACGAATCTGTGAAATTATGCCAGCATTTGTCTCTGATCTCACAGCAGAGGTAGATTTTGGGGGTTTGGGCAAGAGGCTTCGAGATCTAGACCCTTGTTGCAAGGAAGAAATTCTCTTGTTCAAGTCCCCCTCGTCCACTGTAGCAGGAAAGAGTTTTGTGTTCAGTGAAGGTGCAGACAGAGCAATGCTTAAATTTGTTTGCACCTGTGATCCATGAATCTCATTAACGCCTATGTATCCGTTATACGAATCCAATTTGACATTCTTAGAGGACTCGGCAGAAGCCTGACACAAATTTGATGAAAATGTGCATCCAGATTCTCCAGCAGGATGGAAAGCTTCTTCCATTTTTATTTGACCTATAGGCTTATTTGTGTTGTCATTCTGGTGTGGGAGCACAAGTACAGGATCAAAACCGTCAGAACCCTCTCTTTTATTAGGTTCAGAACCATTCATCTGACTGCCCAAAGAAGTTGAAGGCGTTTCACCAACACTGTTTGAGTTAGAAGTTCCCAAAGCTTTGGCCTTTACAGGATTTGGTGTCTGCAGAAAAAATTTGGAAGAACATGATGCAGGACGCGACATAGTTCCTAAGTTTCTAATAGTGAAAATCTAAGAAAACAATATCTTGTCTAGCGAACTCAATCTGTCACATTCAATGATAGAATATACTTGCTTATTAAACAATACACTTGCTTAACTACATTACAAAAATAAATAGGGTGTCCTGCTCTTGAACAATGTTAGAGAACAATCAGGAAATAGAACAGTTAACCAGATGGCAAGCACAAGTACAATTTGCTGATTTTTTCCTTAGGTGTGATTTTCTTTTGGATAAAATCAGTAGGAGCAATCCATGAGCTATTAAACTTCTATGTGTGTTTTGTTTTTTTGAGAATGAAGACATTTATGTGTTATTCAGATGTTTTATGGACTACTACTTAAATTACAATCCATAGAGAGAGCTTGCAAGCAAACTTCAAAAGTAACAATTTGTTTGTGCAACACTTATATCATATGTTCACAGTACATAAGTCATAGATGCATATAATTTATCTCACAGCATGTAGTTGACAACTTCTAGCACAGCTGATACAATTAATGCCCCCACTATCGAGCAGCTCCAGCAAAGAACTAGAAGCAATGCATCCGCAATGAAGACGCTGCCAATACCAAAATTAGGTTCAAAGGTTAGTTATCGGAATCTCTGCAGAGTCAGATTATACTATGAAGCAGAAAGAGAATTTTGCAAGCTAACCTTGCCACATGAAATACACTCCCTCCAACCAGTGTCCTCCGAGTGGAATAAATCACAGAAGATGAGTTGCTCATAAGCAGTCCTGGAGTAAATCCAAATCCCATGTTATGACATCTTGAATTTGTGATCTAATTCTCAGGAAAATGGGAGTGAAATTAACAGAGTAACAAGATATTGAATACGAACTTCACGTGATAAATTGTAGACCTAAACAAATTTAATTTTATGAGATCTGTTAAGCCTTCATGTAGATAATTTATGTGAAGTCCTAGACCTAACTTGAGGCAATTAATACTTGTTTAAACTCATCTCCACTTTTATCAGCAACTAACATTTCTAAGTATAATATAAAGAAATCTATCCTTTCACCAACTTGGCAGTATTAAGCTTTCCAGAGTTTAGTATTAGTTGCTAACCTAAGGTAAATTCTTTTATTCCTCTATCAATCCACATTAATTTACTGCTAGGTAGAGTGATCTTTCGTAAAGACTAAAGAGCGTCAAAGTTGCCAAAAAGAAAAGAGAAAAAAAATACTATTACACCACATTGATAATGCAAATCATTAGAAGAGTCAAGCAGGTTAATCTGCACCAACTTCCTACGGGACAAGAATAAGTGATACACAACCCAGAAGGATTATCTTGTTAGCCCAGATACAGCTCAGGCCCAATCAGATAAGGGAAAGAAGAAGACCCTTTTATAGTTTTACATTTTCTTATAGTTTTAGTCATGTAACTATTTTTACATTTGTTTTGTCTTTTACACTTGTAAATATAAATAGACACTTCTGAATAATAAAATTAGTTTTGGTCAATTAAACTTTGACCGACTCATTCGTCCATCTTCTTCTCTCAACCCTTCTAGGGTTTCCTTCTGTTATTTTCCACCATAGCTATCGAGCTTCAAACCTAACATGGTATCAGAGAGCTTTTTTCCGATGGTAGCCTTGTTTGAAATCGTCAAGGATTGAATCAGATCGTCGACCTTCAGAATACGTTCGTGAAATTTGGGGTTTCTTTCAATCTCCGCATATTTTCGATTTTTATCGCGTGAATCATTGATAATTTTCAAGTTACTCATCAGTTCCTGCTAAATTCTCTACCTAGGGTTCATCGCTAAACAAGACCTCACTTCTTCGGGTTTTCAGAAGAAGGACGGTATCATTGTCACTCCTAATCACAAGTTTTGTTAATTTTTGCTGTTAATGTTCATTGCATGTACCTGATTTGAGTTTATCTTTGATTACTTCAACATACTACTGTAGTTTCTTAGTGTTAGATTTAGTTACTGCTGAAAATGGGAACTGTAATAGATGATGTTAACTCTCCTTCACCTTCCAACAGTTTTGCTCCGTTTTCCTTGGATCCTTCACATCCCTTCTATATTCATCCCTCGGATAATCCTGGAAGTCAACTGGTATCCGTACCATTCAGTGGTTGTGGGTTCGTGTTGTGGCGTAATAGTATGCTCACTTCCCTTTCTGCAAAGAACAAACTCAGCCTATTAGATGGCAGAGTCAACCAACCCACTCCTGAATCTGCTTATTACCCATATTGGGAAAGGTGCAATGATATGGTCAAAGCCTGGATAACTAACTCAGTACCTAGAAAAATAGCAGTTAGTGTGATGTGTTTTAAAACTGCTAAGTAAGTCTGGAAAGATATAGATGAAAGGTTTGGTCAGTCAAACGGGTCTAAATACATTCAAATATAAAGGGAAATCAGCTCTACTACTCAAGGCTCCTCTGATATAGCTTCTTACTTCACCAAAATGAGGAGTTTGTGGGATGAGCTGAACTCTTCATATGTAGGTCCTACCTGTTCATGTGGTGCCTTACCTAAATTCATAGAGGATCAACAGTTGTTTCAATTTTTCAATGGTCTAAATGAGTCCTACACAACTGTTAAGAGTGCCATTATGTTAATGAATCATCTTCCACCAATCAGCAAAGCCTATAGTCTTCTACAACAAGATGAGAGCCAAAGAGAAGCTCACTCTACTACTCCTAACTTCTCTGGTGATGCCACCTCTTTCTTGGTGTCTCCCGGTACATCTACCACAAATAGGACTTTCAGTCAAAAGGTGAATTTTGAGGCCAGGAAAGCTGCTCCAAATGTCTCTTGCAAGTACTGCAAGAAGCCTGACCACACTGTAGACAAGTGCTACAGACTTCATGGGTTCCCTACTGATTTCAAATTCACCAAGAGTAAGAAATATGCTTCTTGTGTCCGGACTGAAAGTCCATCCACCACTGTTGTCACTTCCACTTCTCAGCATGCTGATTCTTCAGCCCATGGGTTCACCAAGGAGCAGTATCAACACTTGTTGACCTTGTTCCAACAAGTTCAGATGTCTAACACTTCCATCCTTGACGCCTCCACTATGGATCAATCTGCTTTTGCACACTTTGCAGGTTTGTTTAGCAAGTATGATGTAGATTCTGAGGTTTCTCATGTGTGTGCATCCTCTCAATTAGGTGTCAATCCTTGGATCTTAGATACAGGGGCTACAAATCACATGACTCCACATAAACATCTTCTTTTTAATGTTCAACCATTAATCAAGCCTTTTCTTGTCACCCTACCTAATGGATATAAAGCTAAAGTTATATCAACTGGATCTCTGTATCTTAGACATGATATAATTTTACTTCATGTTCTTCTTGTGCCATCTTTTCACTTCAATTTGATATCAGTTCATCAGCTTATATGTCAGCTAGATTGTTCAGCACTTTTTACCAGACCAATTTGTTCTTTACAGGGCCCTTGTCTGAAGAGGCCACTGAAAATGGTAAAGCTGCAGGCAGGCTGTACTATCTCCATCCAGATGTTAATCTCTTTCCTGTTTCATCTGGTTCTCTGAATGTTTCTTCTTCTAGTAGTTTACCTAATTCTGTTTCTACTTCTAGTAGTTTACCTTCTTCTGTTTCAATTGTATCTAATAAATCCAGTCATATTGTTACACATGTTAATGGTACTCCTGATTGTAATCAATTCCATTGCCTTAATAAATTGGACTTGTTTTGGCATCAAAGATTAGGGCACATGCCTTATCATAGAATGAAAACTATTCCTTTCTTGTTTGATAAAGTATCTTCCAAGCAAAGTTTCATGTGTCATGTTTGTCCTCTAGCAAGACAACAGAGATTACCTTTTCCTGAGAGTGTTATACACTCTTCTGATCCCTTTCAATTAGTACACATTGACATTTGGGGTCCATATAACACTAGAACTTATAGTGGATTCAGATATTTTCTAACTTTGGTTGATGATTATACTAGAGCCACATGGACTCACCTTCTTTCTTGCAAGAGCAATGCTCTTTCTGTTCTTAAAGCTTTTACTGTCATGGTTAAAGTTCATTTTAAATCATCTGTTCAAACCTTTAGGTCTGACAATGCCTTTGAACTTGGTGGTAGTTCTGAAGCCACCAAGTTCTTCTCAAGCCAAGGCATTCTCCATCAGACCACTATTCCTTACACCCCTCAATAAAATGGGGTGGTTGAAAGGAAACACAAACACTTATTGGAAATCTCCGGGGCTCTCCTTTTTCAGTCTAACCTTCCCCTTAAATATTTGGGTGACTGTGTTTTGACTGCCACTTACCTCACCAATAGACTTCCTTCTGTTGTTTTGAAGGGTTTCTCTCCTTATGAGAAACTTCATGGCCTCCCTCCACTTTATGCTCACTTAAAATCCTTTGGATGTTTATGATTTGCTACTTCACCTAAGTTTGGCAGAGATAAATTCCAGGCTAGAGCTATTCCTTCTATCTTTTTGGGGTACCCCTTTGGCAAAAAGGGTTACAAACTTCTTAATCTCACTACTCATTCCATTTTCTTTTCTAGGGATGTGGTTTTTCATGAACATATATTTCCTTATAAGTCTGATCATCCTTCTGTTTTTCCCTCTTCCTCCATTTCAGATTTTGTAGATTCTACACCCTCCTCCTCTTCACCTTCTCCTACTCCTGCTGTTTCCCCATCTCCAGACTCTCCTGTTCCCTCACCTCTTTCTCCTCCTCCTCTATCTGCTTCTCCTCTTGTTATCCCTTCTCCTCCACCTTTGAGGAAATCCACCAGAACAGTCCAACAACTTTCCTATCTTAAAGATTATGTATGTTCCTCTGTCTCTTCCTCTCATTCTCTTCTTACCTCTTCCAAGGTCTCTTCTGTTGACATACACATGCATGAGCCCCAGTTCTATTAGCAGGCTGCCTCACATCCTGCTTGGCAAGAGGCCATGCTAAAGGAATTCCAAGCCCTTGAGGCAAACCAGACTTGGGATATTGTCCCTTTACCTTCTCACAAGAAAGCTATTCCTTGCAAGTGGGTTTACAAAATCAAACAAGGGGCTGATGGTTCTATTGAGAGATATAAAGCCAGGTTGGTCATTAGAGGTGACACCCAAAAGGAGGGCATTGATTTTACTGAAAGTTTTTCTCCTGTTGTCAAGCTAACCACCATCAAATGCTTACTCACTTTGGCGGCTAAATGGGGCTGGACTGTGTTTCAACTTGATGTGAACAATGCCTTCCTTCATGGGGATCTCGTGAAGAGGTTTATATGAAGGTCCCACCTGGTCTTGATGTATCTGCTCCTTCTTCTTCTCCTCCCCTGGTTTGCAGACTCGAGAAATCCCTCTATGGCCTTAGGCAAGCTTCTAGACAGTGGTTTTCAAAACTGTCTGAAGCCTTGCAATCCAGAGGCTACATTGCCAGCATGAATGATTATTCCTTATTCACCAAGGTCTCCTCTGATTCTCTAATTGTCTTGGCTGTCTATGTCGATGACATCTTGCTAGCTAGTAATGATGTTATTGAGATGAACTCTTTTAAGTCTTTCTTGGATGCCCAATTCAAGATCAAAGACCTGGGCTAAGTTCACTATTTTCTGGGATTGGAAATCTCTCTTATCCCTCAAGGTTATGTGATGAGCCAACACAAGTACACTTCTGACCTTTTGACTGAGTTTAATTGTCAACATTTCTCTCCTGTTATGACCCCTTTAGATCCTTCTGTGAAGCTGGTGTTAGACATGGGGGAGCCTATTTCTGATCCTAGCTTGTATAGGAGATTGATTTGGAAGCTCAATTTCTTGCAACATACTAAGCCTGATATATCCTTCTGCGTTCAACATTTGAGCCAATTTCTTCAAAAACCTCAAGTGCCCCACATGTTGGCAGCCTTGCATGTTCTCAGATATTTGCTTAATGACCCAGCTCAAGGGGTGCTCCTCTCCAGCTCATCTGATTTGTCTCTCACACCATATTCTGACTCTGATTGGGCTGCATGTGCCATTTCTCGCAAATCTGTCACTGGTTATTATATTACTCTTGGTGGAAGCCCTATTTCTTGGAAAAGCAAGAAGCAACCCACTATCTCCTTGTCCTCAGCTGAAGCTGAATACAACACTTCGCAAAGTTTCAGCTGAGGTTTCTTGGTTGCTCAGACTTCTGCTTGATCTTGGTTTGTCCATTTCCAGCCCAGTTCCCATTTATTGTGACAACCAGGCAGCTCTTCATATTGCCAAGAACCCAGTTTTTCACGAGCGCACGAAGCATATTGAGATTGACTGTCATTATGTGCGCACTTGCTTGCAGACTGGTCTAATTTCTTTGCATTTTATCTCCAGGTCCAACCAGTTAGCAGACATCATGACCAAAGCTCTTCCTGGTCCAGTTCATCATGGTTTACTTTACAAGCTTGGTGTGTTCTCACCCTCAAGCTTGAGAGGGGGGTGTTAGCCCAGATACAGCTCAGGCCCAATTGTCACAGGCCCAATCAGATAAGGGAAAGAAGAAGGCCCTTTTATAGTTTACATTTTCTTATAGTTTTAGTCATGTAACTATTTTTACATTTGTTTTGTCTTTTACACTTGTAAATATAAATAGACACTACTGAATAATAAAATCAGTTTTGGTCAATTAAACTTTGACCGACTTATTCATCCATCTTTTTCTCTCAACCCTTCTAGGGTTTCCTTCTGTTATTTTCCGCCATAGCTATCGAGCTTCAAACCTAACATATCTTTCCTGCAATTGAGTTTCTAACCTTTCCAGAACTAGAGTTCAGTTGAGCAGACATTACTTGGTGCATGAACGGGACAAGGAAAGTATTTTCACAACATAATATAGGTCTTTTTTTTTTGGTAAGAAAGGGGCAACCCGGTGCACTAAGCTCCCGCTATGCGCGGGGTCCGGGGAAGGGCCGGACCACAAAAGTCTATCGTACGCAGTCTTACCCATGCGTACAGAGACATTGGTGCCCAAGTTGCACCATATTACAATCTAAGTTAATACTAGTAGTAGCAACATTGTTTGTGGTATTCCTAATGGTATTATCATCACAACAACATAAGGGTGTTGATGATAGCTGATGTGCAACATAATATAGGTTCTCTCAAATTGGGTATGCAATATCTTGTTAGAAAATGTAAAGCAACTGTTTCATCGAATTCAAGAAAAACTTCGCAAATAAGGGGTAATCAGCCAATATTCGCAAACAGAACATGACTTAAGAAATATTCTTTCTGCAAATAAAAAACCTTAACATAAAACACAGAAACAATTTCAGATTATACATATTCCTTCTGTTCCAAAAAGAGTAACCATTTCAAAGAACAAAGGTCAAACCATCTAATTTTCGGTCTCAACTCTAGTAGGACATTGGTTACTTAATCTTTTCTAAAATATATCTACAAATTCAAAATCTACACAAAGATTATATAAGTGACAACCTTTTTACAATTATACACATCTAAAACTGCTTCACAGCCTAAATAGTAATGGTATCATATATAAAATGAACAAACAGAGGGAATAAATTAGTAATAATAAGCAAATCACTTTTACTAGAAATAATAAAAGTTGAATTTACGGAACATAAAATTCAATAGAGAGAGAGAGAGAGAGAGAGAGAGAGAGAGAGAGAGAGAGAGAGAGAGAGAGAGAGAGATCTGAATTGAATTACCCGCACTTATCACAGACGCAGGCAAATTCACCAGATTTCAAAGGCCACCCTTTTTTCCACTCAACTGAAGAAGTAGCCCCACATACTCCATTCATGCAAATCTTTGAATCCATTTAAGCCCTAATACATCATAATCTCACTCTAATACTTCATAAAAAGAAAGACGTGTTAAACTAGAAATGAAGTCTTTAACAAAAACCAATTATGGAAAAAGTAAAGTAAACTAGGAGGAAGAAATAAGAGTAAAAGGAAGAATTTTGAATATAAGAATTAGACATACAATATAAAGCTAGTGAGCTGCAGTGTTTGTGGCTTTGTGTATACTATATAGAGTTTGCTGGGGTGGGAGGAAATATAGTAAATTTGTGATAGAGGAATTTTGGAAGCTCAATTCTCCGGTACCGGAAAGTTATATCGCCGGCGGAGTTGGGAGGAGAAAATGAAATGCATAAACCAGAGAGAGAGAGAGAGAGAGAGAGAGAGGAGTAAAGTGTAAAACTGCAAAAAGCGCATGCACGACGCTTGAAGGGTCAGCAAAGGTCGCCCGCCTTTCCCTTTCTTTCTGTTTCTCTTCCACTAACGTCCCTCTTCTTCAATTCTCTTCACTTTTTCTGTCTCATTTTTAAATATTTTGAAATAATTTTAATTTGTCAAATTGACTAATATCTAAAATCAGTTGTAATGATACATTCGCTTTTGAAAACCTTAATTATACGGGAAAAGGGTCAAAAGTATTCCTTTACTATGCAAAAAATATCATTTATGCCGTCCATTATACTTTCGATCCAAGAATACCCCTCCTCCATTAGGGTCTTCCACCATGGCTAATATCATTCTATGTGGCCTTACATTTTATGAGATAGACGCCACATGATATGCTGGCACCGTTTGTGGCTGGGTTGTAACATCCCGTACATTCGGACTAGGTGTGGACATATTAAATGTGTATTAATTTGATATTTTAGACATATGAAGTCCTAGCGGGATGAGTATGGGTAAAAATAGTTGTTTTGGAATCAAGACGGATAGTGAGGTGCATAAGATTCGACAAAATCGACTAAGTTTGCAGAAGGTTCGTCTTCCAGTAGGGTTTAGTGAGAATGTGTAAGGAATTTGGAAAAACTCAAATCATGAATGTTGTAGACCTTTGAAATAGCTTTCCAACGATATATTGTGGAGCCCAAACGGAGCTCTGTGCAAAAAGTTATGCCCGTTTTACAAAATAGTGTGTAATCACCGCGTTCGGCCGCGTTTGACCGCGACCGCGGTCGTGAGGCAGTGCTCCAGCGATTTACCGCGGTCGGTACCGCGGTCAGGCCTACTGGGACGCGGTGGCCAACTTGGGAAGTCGTTTTTTTAGCCCTATTTCGTCCCCCACAACCCCAAAATATAAAAACTTGCTCTAGAAATGAAAGCTCTCAAAAACCTAACTCCTTAAGGGTCCCTCCACCACCCAAGGTAAGTTCTAATGGTGATTCTAAGTTAATTTCAATTTTCCAACATCTTATTAACATGGGTAAACCCTCCATATCATTAGATATTCGATTAGGACACCATTGTTGAGAGAAGAAACCCTAGAACTCGAATTCAAGAAGATTGAACGTAAAAAAAGGTAATATTTTCACCCTCTAATTGATTCTATCATTGAATTAATGATTATAGACTCTAGTTCATGAGATATGAGTTGATGTGTTTAATAGAAAAGCATGAACGGTGATAGGTTTGGGTTGTTGATTGGTTATTATTGGTTATGGGTGTTGATTACCTTATGAGTGATAAAGAATAATGTTGATTATAACCATTTGAGACTTTACAATTTATCTAGGAGCAAGAGAATGGGTTATTGGGTATAGAGACACCATTAATAAGGGCTATGAAGCTTTATGCCACCGAGCGTTTGATAAAATGCCTAAGTGACCAAAACATGACTATTGTTGCTAATTTGGAATCCCTTTAACTTGTATTGATATAGATTAAAGTTGAAAGGGTTGGCGAATATTGTATTATGCTCAAGAGCAGGAAGTTAAGGTATATGAAGCTAACTCTCTATGTTTGGGAATGTTAATGATTCTCCCTACACTACGTTTCTTTTACGACGTTACTAATTGCCTAAGAAATATAGTTTAGCCTAGTTCCTTGAATAGTTGCAAAACTTCTATTCTCTAGCTTCATAACTCGTTCACCACTTTCATTCTGAACGTTGTGAGCTCAGTGCGTATTCAATATAAACTTGGGTTTGATGCCCCCGAATCTTAGTAGAGATTACTCAGTATGCCATAAACAGTTGAAGTTTCAGTATTCATAATCAGTTCAAGAATACATGTCTCAGTCTAGACCCATTCAGTATTCCAGTATTATGTAACTCAGTGTGATCTAGTATTCCAGTATCATGTAACTCGGTGTGATTCAGTATTTCATTATCATGTATTGCAGTCTGATTCTCAGTTCCTGAATGTTGAACACTTGTATTTGGGCCTGAGGCTGCAGTTTATGCTTTATGCATCTTTGGGCCTGAGGCCGCAGTTTATGCTTTATGCATTTTAGACCTGAGGTCGCAGTTATATATATATTGGGCCTGAGGCCGCAGTTTATTTATTCATATAAACAGGTTGTTCATCATTCAGAAGAGGGAGTATTCATATCCTTACTTCCTTTGTTTAGTTCAATTATTAGTTATCATTTTAGTTATCAGTTATCATTTCGGTCACCAGTTATCAGTTATCAGTTAAGTTATCAGTTACCAGTTATCATTTCAGTTTTAGTTTCAATAGTTATCATTTCAGTTATCAATTATAAATTCTCAGTTATCAGCTTGGTTTCAGTTTCAGCATTTATAATACTTTCTTTCGGTTGCTTTACATACCAGTGCAATTCAAATGTATGACGTCCCTTTTGCCCGGGGCCTGTATCTCACGATGCAGGTAATGATTTACAGCTTGATGATTCAGAGCGCTAGGATTCTCGTACCAGCTATTTGGTGATCCCCAGTTCTTTCGAGGCATTATCATTACTACAGTCTTCAGTATTTTCAGACAGTCAGTATTTTCAGGACAAATTAGAGGCTTCATGGACTAGAGTAACAGTTAGACAGAGTCACAAGATTTTCATATTAAGCTATGTTGGCTACAAATATGTTTCAGAATTGTATTAGTATTTCTGCACTTTGATTTATATCATCTAGACTTTCAGTATATCAGCATGTGTTAGTTTATCTTCTGCATTCAGTATGTTATGATACCACATGTTGATTCAGCCAGCCAGTTGGTTCGCTCGGTCACATGTAGTCAGGCACCGAGTGCCGTGTTACGTCCAGGCCCAGGTTCGGGACGTGACATGGGTGAAGTGGCAGGTAGTGATGGAAGAAAAGGTGGAAGGAGGAGTAAAATGAAGCTGGGGCGGTGCGGTGGCATGTCATGTAGCGTCCACCTCGGCATAACGTCATGTCATATAGAATGATATCATCTATGGTGGAGGGTCTTAACGGAGGAGGAGTATTTTTTTTTACCAATTTTGTGATGTTAAGGATAATAGTGAACCGAAAGTATAACAAAGGACATAAATGATCCTTTTTACATAGTAAAAGGATACTTTTGACCATTTTCCCTAATTATATTGATGAACTTTTGATTGTCTTATGGATAGAGTCGTCAATATGTGCTTGGCCCGTTGGGCCAACCCAGCCCGGCCTGTGATTTAGTAGGGCTGGGCTAGAATTTTTGGAGCCCATTTAAAAATGAGGCTTTTAAGCCCGGCCCGAGTAAGCCCGTGGGCCTAATAAAAATACGTATTTAAAATAAATAACATATAAAAGTATATGACAGAAAAAATAACAAGAAGAGTATCCCAAGCTTAAAGTTTATTAAGCTCATCATATTAAAAGATCAAAGTCTTAAAACGTTAAAATTTAATTATTCTCAATATTTAACTAGTTAATATTGCATACGAATTGTAGATGTAGAAGAAAGTGAAGATGTTAAGACAATCTTCTCATAAGCGGAGTCAAATATGTTTGATGAAGATGATATGTTAGATATCCCATAAGCTTCATGGGCGTTCTCTTGAATAGTTTATTTTGAGTTTTGGATTTTAGTGAATGAAATATAGTCTTGTCTTTTACCTTTTTAGTGTTTATTGTGATATATTAGAACCGTACAAAAAGTTATTAAGTTTTGTGAAATTTTCCAATAAGATTTTTTTAACTTTTAAACAGAAAGAATTACGGATATAATCACTTGGCCCAGCAGCCCAACTAAAAATGGCCTAGGTTTGACGTCTTTACCGATATGGCCCGTGTTGCATATAATTTGAAAGAAACTTTTCATTCTTTAGCCCATTATTAAAGATATACTTCTAGGGTTTTTTTCTTTTCTTCTTTCTTCTTTCTCAACACAATCAATCTCTCTTCACTCGCCTCTCCTTCATTCTCTCTAAAAATTACAGGATTTTTTTCTATACACTCGTGATAATTGCTTTTGAGCACTCAAGTGAAGAAACAAAAACAAATACTGTAACATTTCAGTAATTTTTGTGCTCTATACAGATGTGCACAATGGCTCTTTAATCCTCGCATTCTATGTCAATTCGATTTCGATTTTTGAGTTAATTGACAAAAGGAGGTTAAGGAACCGCAATAAGATTTGGCATATAGTCGAAAAACTATCAGATCTGGCCTAAAACTATCAGATCTTGCCTAAAAGAGCATCTCCGGCAACCTTGTCTCATATTTTCTTATTTCTCTTAGTTTTTGTTTCATCTTTTGCAACTGGTGAAGCCCAAATTTGAAGCCAAAAACTCGCTGGAAAAATTCAACACCAGCAACCACCGAAATCTGTAATGTGGTGATGGACGAAGGTGTTTTCTAGTGTAAATTTGCATAGGTAGTGTTTATACACACTTATAAAATATTGTATAAATATGTATAAGTGTGTATATCTGCGTACAATGTTGTATAAATTATCTATATTTTTAATGTATAATGTGTATATACGTTATACGTGTATAATAGGCATCCATGGATGTTTGACACTTTTTTTCTTCTTCTTTGTCTTATTTTTCTGATATACATTATTAGGTATTGTATATACAAGTTTATACAAAGTTATACATCATTATACATGTAATGCACATGTGCAGTTAAATCTATATTAAAATTTTATATGTTTAATCTATGTACAAATCGACTTTTTTTGTTGATTTATTTGCCAAATCATGAACATGCAATAATTTTTTTAATTTTTATTTTTTATTTATGCTATTTGGAACTTGGAAAAGAAGAAAATTTAAGGTTTTCAAGTTGCATTATATATGAATTTGAATTTTTTGTAGCTGGAATAGGAATATATACAAACTTGGGAAGAAGAATAAAAAATCACAAAATTTTTGTGCTTGAAGATATGCAGAATAAAAAGAAATGCTTATTTTTCGAACTTTGGCCTATTGTTAATGGGCTACAGATTTGCAAAGTTGTAACTGGGTTATTCTGATGCAATGTATATGGGTGGACTGTTTTTTTGTGTAATTCTCCCATTTAAATATTTATCTTTTTTTAGTTTAGAAATTAAAGAAAAAATATAAAATTAT